GTTATTGCTTCGACTGAAATTGCGTGTTGCGGGCCGCCTTTCTGGAACCAATATGGTCATGGAAAAACTATTAAATCAACTTAATCCTGTATATATTATCTTTAAAAGCCTCTAGGTTTTACAAGGTTGACAAGATTGTCCCTCCTTTCTATCAATGAGTCAGTTATCAAGTGTAACACATGTAGCCTAATCTCTTCATGTGACTCACCAGTGCTCGCTCCGCGCAAAAAAAAAGTTCCTGGAAACGTTTGAAGGCTTTAATTACGGACGTACATGTATTTGACATCAAATACATAGATTCAATCTTGTGTACTTAGAGGTGCCGAAAAAATTACTAGGTTCTTATCAATGTCACGCACGAGCACAATGTCTAACACATAGCAAGAAGTATACATTTAACGTTGGTTGAAAAGAATTTGAAAAAAGGAAATCGTTCACGAATCATTTGTACCGTAGCTTTACACGACTTCGAATTATATCTCTATAGGTATCTGTTCAAAGGGTTGGATTTCGTTTCAAGAAAGGAAATTATCATACCACAAAAACTCATAAAATAACTGAGATAAGCTTCCCAAATTCAGTTTATGTTCATATTAAACGCGTCATCGCTCGTGCAGTGTTAATAAATACATAGTAATAAGACGTTCGAGTCAATATTATTATTCATACTTTTCATAATGACGAACGGCTAAAAGAAAAACTTTTTATCGCAGTAGGAAGATACAATCTTGACATAAATCTGTCACTTCAACGATTGATGGTAGGTAGACGAAATGAAGAATGAAGAGGAAATAAAAACATGAAGCCTCAAAGTGGGAAGGGATGTTTTACGTTTTATTGAGATTGAGACACCATGTAGAGACACACAATTTCGGGGGTTACGTCACGTGTCATGATGTCTCAGAACATGGAAGAATGTCTCCAGCCTCAGCGGCATCCCGTCTGAACCAGAACGGGGAGAAGGGCTGGCATATCTTTGGCTTTATTCATAGAAATACTCCCAATTCCACGGCCCCTCTGCTGCAACTTGTTGATGTTCGTCTCGCACGTGCAAGTCCTCCGCGGCGCTCCGCCATCATCCGGGTTGAACCGGTCCGCATGTTTCTGCAGAATCTGTTAATGTCACTTTGCCTGTATGGAAACCTGTCAGCGCAATAAATATTCACTGTTTCTTTTGCCCTGTAACTTGACAGGCCTATCGCTGATACAAGACAGGACTGAGTCCAGGGAATACAGAACACACACTAGAGAAACTGTAATGGTTCCTTTAATGAACGGCTACTACATTAACCGGAATATAATGTGTAACTATATTTAAACATTCAAAGTTATTTTTTGTTTTTAAAAATGTTCTGTTTTGATTTTTTCAACTGAATTATTTCTGTCTGATTGAACTTTCTGTCACATTTCTTAGAATCAGTTTAAAGATAAAAACATCATTTTCTTGAAATCAACTACGAGGGTCCAGGTTTATAGTTAAGTGCGCGTTTAACTGGCGGACATCAAAGGAAGAGGCGATGTAAACGAGCAGTTACAAAGTATGTCATAAATTACCTTTATCATGCTTCAGTAGACCTTCGAGAAAAAAATGAGTCTTATTTATGGAGATGTACTTACATAGAATTCCTGCAATTCCAAGCAATATTATCAGGTGCACAAAACATACTCAAGCAAGACAATTGTACAACAAGTCGCATACAATAAAATTTAACAGTTTAAGTTACAGAAATTGCATTTTAAAGATAAACGTCAGTTATATTTCCTAAGTTATGGACATTAACGCAGAATATACAGAATATTCAAATTTTACAAGATGTTCTTCAATATATATTTGAGGTTTCAATGAATAAAACTATCACTGAAGTGATACATTTCGCTAAACAAGGGGGGACTGTTGAGCAAGAGGTCTTAAACTTTTGTCAACTTAAACGATATTTGAATTAAACTAATCAAATTGTCCGACAACCCCCCTCATGAAGTCATTGTATTCCCTTCATGTCCATTGTAAAGGACGCATTTGTTGACAATGTCCCATAAAGGTCGGCCGCCGTTTGAGGTAGACCAACGAATCGCGTGCTGTTGTTTGCCTTTTTTAAAGGACGGGACGTTGGATACAATTGAAATGTAGCGAAAGTCACGTTAATTTGCAAGTCACGTACAATCATTAATCTTCGTCAAAGTTTACCGGCAGTGCCAATAGCACGTGCATGTCTCGTGCGGTCGTGACCACAGGCAGATTCATCTCTTAGCATACGCTCACTAATGTCGGAAATATCCTTAAACAGTGTTCGGCATAAAACTGTCGAATTTGACCCAAAACCATTGTCTGCTTCCGCTAAAACAAATAGTTCATTACGCGTGACCGTGTTGCCATTGCTTGACGTTCTGTCACGTGTGTTGACGTTGCCACTACTCTAACATACCCAGTGGTAACACTGAATCCCGTGTCAGGCTTATTCGTGGTTAGCCAACACTGGTAGGAGGGACACGTAATCCCAGGATATTCTACAATCTGGCAATATTACGACGTAAGAGGCAACACTACTAAGTAACGTTTACACGTAAGAAAGGACATGGTACGAGCTTGAACTTTCTCAAACTCCATACATCTCCTTACATTTACACCAGAATAACTTCAGCAACAACAAAATATAACATAAAATACTTTTACATATCTGAAAATAAATCAGTATTTTACAGAATGTAGAACAAACGAAACGTTTGTCTAGACCAATGGTGTTCAGACTTGTAAACTTTCAGAAAACCTGTCAACTTAATGTGTATAGTGAGCTCACTTTGTATCAGTTCATATGAATTAATTTTGACACAAGTAAGTCAATCAAAGAGACGGCTTTCATTGACAGATTGTTCCATAGAAGTTTAGGAAACAAGAAGGGTCAACTGGGTTCTGTGTTACCGCAACTATTGCCCTGACAACGCTATGGTAACGATATGGCATTCCACAACTCCGTTGAGATCACACTACGGAAATACCAGTTTATCAGCCTCTACTCATTCGTCAGAGCCTCTTCCATCGACATCCGTCCGTATACTCGTGCGACGTGGAGGAATTCGTGTCAAGATCCACAGACCCCATAATTCATAATGATGGGGAAATCAGGCATATTCATCAATTTCGGGGGAAGAAATTCTTTTAATTTTTTTTTTTGTTACGTGCTTGATTGGAGTCAATTTGTCTGAACAGAGCCAGTGATAAGTGAATTAGTGATAAATATGAGTAAAATAAATCTGTTTGACTGGTACACCAGTATTTGAATAATGGATATACCGCAGTATAGGGATCACTTTTGTCCGCTAAATATAAACTTTCTATGGTTTATATGAGTTTGAAACATTTTATTTTCATCTTTTCTGAACCCGAACAAAAATATTGCTGCATTAAAAGAAATATTGCTAAATTTCTATTGAATTTGGTTAATGAAAGCGTCCAAAACACTTGAGTAACGTGTACTGAAAATCTTCTCTTCGAACGTTATGTTTGCTTAAACCAAACCAATACAGTAAAGAAATGTTCCAAAAGAGAAACAATTTTTAATTTGATATACCAAATTCCAATGGGGTGACCTTTTAATCCGCGATTAATATTGATGCGACCTTGATGGACATTTTTACGATTCCAACTCACGGGAGGCGTTTACAGCCCAGCATAGGGTTCCACGCAAATCCTTAAGACCTAATGGGTAATCTTCAGAGTTAATCTGGGGGACCTTGATGCCAGAGTTTGGTTAAACGCACCTTGTAAAACTCATGCAGGGCTTACCACTCCGCTGAAATTGTCTTAAACCGAATCTTCACTGTCAACAAAGCTTGTTCTGACGTGTCTTTGTATAAACCTGACATCTGAGAAACGCGGGAGGGTTTTGGTGTAAGACCTTGGTGAGTTTAACCAAAGCTCCCGCTCATGTTCTGAGTCCGGCCGCCATTACAGTCTCGTAGTCCAAACACAATGTTCCGCCATCTTGTCAAACATTGCCAGCGGATTGAGGTCCAGCCGTTTCCATAACCTCTGTATAAGAATCAGCTTTCGAGAACATTATGGCCTCAGGGTTATTGTAGGTAAAAACGCCGGCCCTATGTTTCAGCGGAACGTGCTGATTTTCCGCCTGAGTGATTGGGTTACAAAGTTACCGCGCAGTACGTGTGTTGCTACGCGTTCTCAGGAAAATCTAGCTGAGCTTTGTCACAGGTGACTCAATCTCGTCTTTGTAACACCTGCAATTAAGAATCCCTGTTTCCAGTATTAGTGACTTCAATGAAGTTATTCATTGTATAAAACACGTCACATGACCAGTAAATGGGCTTTGCAAACATATATATACGAAGTGTATAACGCTATCTGCCACAATGTACCCTTGTTAGGGACAGGACCAAGAGATCGAGTGAAGATATTATGAGTTAAGCCAACACCATTCTACACAAAACAAATACGTTATGTACACATCACGTTAGGTAGTGATTTGTTAAACGATAAGTTCATAACCATTGGGCGCTTAGGTTTGACATTAGAGCTTTCTTCATAGAAAAAACAGTACAAACACACTTCTTAGAATTGTTCTTCAAATGTTACTGCATAACGATATTATTTTATATTACACGTTTGGCGCTCTTGTAATATCCAATCTAGTATTGGCATTTGTGATTTCATGCGTTGACTTACGGTTTAGTTACATATGTGTGTAGAAAGTCCGCGTGTTATGGTGGTAGGCTGTAAGGACGTGGATTTAGAACTACTGAGGGTAAAGGAACCTTAGTCTTGAACACCTGGTGTCATAATGATTTTCATAGATCCATTCATATTATTTTCACAGTTGTTTTTGCCCTGAAAATCGAATGAGTTTCTGAGGATAGTCAAGAGTGGGTGTTCATGTGACTGATGTTTTAAATAATTTGTTGCTATTACTCGAACCGGTAATTATGGGTATGATCTGCATGTGCTTTGTTGATGAACTCCGAACTAACGCAAACTCTTTGTTCCACAGACTTCTTTGCGAGGAGGAGAAACGCCCGTTTGTGGAGGAAGCCGAGAGACTTCGTCTTCAGCACAAGAAGGACTACCCTGATTACAAATACCAACCCCGTAGAAGGAAGCCTCTGAAGGGACAACAACAGGGTAACGAAAACGCCAGCCCTCTTCCACCAGGGGTGCTGCTCAAGCCCGTTGGTGACTGCTCATCACCAAGCGATGATTGCTCCAGCGAGTGCTCGAGTCAGCCTGGAGGATCAAACGGTCCTCCTACCCCACCCACGACACCCAACCAACACGAGGCCCTCAACTTGAAGTGTATCTATGACAGAAAGGGAGTCCGCGCCGGAACAGGTGAGTTGTGTCTCAGATGAAATGTGTAAACTTTGACTTGGTTCATAATTCTTTTAAGTTGACAAGCTTTTGAAACATGTAGTTTTCAAATTCCTTTTGTCACGGTACTTAGTTTAATGAACAAGTTCACTTCGGATTTAAACACTAAACTCTGTTTTGTACATATTTTGAAATATGTTGTTTTGTGTTTCAGGACAACTAGGTCCTTCTGGACACCCAATAGACTTCAGCCGGGTTGATCTCCGAGAACTTAGCCCAGAAATTATCGATCCCTTCGACGATCCTCTTGATCTTGATCGCTACCTACCGCCCTCCGGAACGGCCCTACCCAGCTCCCACCAGGGTCCCCACCCCGGCCACTACACGCCCTGCTACGGCAACCAGGGTAACAACGTTCCCGCCACCACCGCCACAAGTTGGACCAATTCATACAGAGTGTCTTCCGCCAGCTCCTGCATCCAATCCTACATGCCCAACAACACCAGCACCACCAACAGCACCAACGGCGGCAGCAGCATCAGTTCTGCTTACGACATCAGTGAACAGTCGTCACAGTCCCGGACGGCGGGGCTCCATCAAGCCGCCCCAGCTACGTCTTCCTCTTCCTACCACGCTGGCTCTCCAGACTACAAGTACAGAGAGGAGGACAATTCTCATATCAAGATGGAACAACTCCCGGCCCATCAGTCTCAACCCTACAGAGTCGATCAGAAATACGAAGCGTATAATGCATCCACGTCTCGGTACAATATGGACAATCCAGGACCTTTTGGTGGACCTGTTCAGAGTGCCTACCTTGGCCAGAACTCGGCTCCAGTAGGTGCTGCTCCTTCCTATCAATACGCTATGGGTCTCCGACAGATGTTCAACCCAATAGCTGCCGCGGTACCCGGCGAACAGACATGGGAAAGGTATACTTGAGTGGCTTCATCGTCAACAGCTGTGTTTGATCTCATCCCACAAATGCATAATACCGGTGGCCGCCAATGTGGATGACAGGATCTTGAGGCTCATGAGAGTGTCGTCTGCTCTTGGAACCAAGCTCGTAAAGCCAGGACTGCTTGAATGGCGTCTGTCTCTAAAGCGAGAACAGAAGTGCGTTTGTGAACTTCTTTGTGACATTACGCTCAATCTTTCGTGTCTCCAGAAGATATCGGTCGGACTTACTGACAGTATTGACGAGACTGTGTGTCCAAGCGGCGTATCCTCTGGACTGTGCCATACTGTGTATGTAAATGTTTTGTCATAGACCGCATCCCTCCAGTATCAGCTTCAAAGAGACTATTTGCCAAGCAACATACGATCAGAATAGACAAATACCTGTCACACCAGCTCATGCAGGAATACAAGTGCTTCTTAAACGTTGCGTCAAGCTACGCCATATTATATTTGCCTGCAGTTAGATTTGGGTTGCTTTGTATGTGCCAAAGACGCAACGTTACGCCTATATGCATGACCAAAACATGTAGACACCATATTACAGTGCTATTGTCTTCCTAGATCAAGTGCCTTGGCGCAGATGTAATCTGACTACTCATTGGTCAGTTTCATTGTGTAGTGACCTGTGATTGGTCAACATTAGAGTGTCGTGATCTCATGTGCTACACATGCACGAAATAGCTGGATTACCCTCTCTTTGATGATGTATCTATGCAAGCCTTATGCAAAGCACTATAGTTGTTACCTAAGCGATCTCCGTTCCTCGGTATGTTTATTCTATAAGCTATCTCAGAGGTAGAGAAGAACATCTTCATAAATCATGTACATATTTTCTAGATTGTTATTATTCAAGTTTTGAATAAACCTGTTTATACTTTTTACATGGTTTTCGTGTCCTCTCTTGGATTTTAAAGAAGTACTGGACTTTGACCAATTTGAAGTCAAGCCATTCACTTTTTGTGTTTGCCAATTCAAAATTGAAGGCATCCATTGATTATTCAGCTACGATTCTCATAACATGGCAGAAACAAATGTCTGTTTCACCAGAACGCCATCTTCACCTTGACATGTCTTTGTCCCTCATGGAACGATGATCATGGTCTTGGGAAAGGTGACTGTGTTATCTAGCATTCTGGCTCATGACACACTGAACAGAGCGGACTTGATCAGATGAAGTCGCTTCAGGTTAATCACGTATACCTCCCATCGCTACTGCCGTTGATGGTGATGATGAAGATGATGGTGTAGTCTGTCGTACAGACCCCGAAGCAAATATAACCATGAAAGGCCACACAAGTCTAGAAAATGTGGCAAGTCTAGATTTACTCAGCTTCTGAAAATGAAGAAAGTCTCAGGTCTCCTTTTCATTATTATTTTTTTTACTATTAACTTTTTTCAGTAAAATATGTTCATTTCAGAGACTAGTTGTTATTCTAATGATGGTGATGATATGATAATACTAAGAATGTAGTATCACACCTATTTTGTGATGATACACTTTGTTTCAACTTCTGAAAATGGATCCTCTTCAATCCAAATCAGATGATCATGAACCTGGATAATCCGGACGTCTTTAAACCTTAATGTGGATTAACGAGTTGCGACTATTACTTCACTCTTACACAATCGCACGTTATTGGATCACGGGTATTACTCCCACCTGCTCGAACAGCCAAGGGGGGCGGTGGAGTAGCCTAGTGGTTAAAGCGTTAGATCGTCACACAGGTTCGATTCCCCACATGGGTACAATGTATGAAGCCCAATTCTGGTGCCACCCTTCGTGTTATTGCTGTAATATTACTAGAAGCGGCGTAAAACCACACTCACTCGCTCGAACAGCCAGGTAGACCATTACGAAGAGGAGTCATTCTCACACGTTGTCCAGGCCACACAAAGTCATGCTATGAAGTCATACTACACAACACAGACTTAAAATAGTAATACATAAAATAGTCCTCGCTGAACAGAATATTTGGGATGGGGTAATTTAGCTCTCGGATTTGTTTATATGTCCCGACTCCGCAGATCCAAGTGTTCGCTTGGAGCAGTTTTTACATATCTCCTTACATAGCAATAAAATAAAATATATTACGCCAGATATCAGTAGTATTACCAGACGTGCGAAGCTGATAAATCCTTTCAGAAAGAGGTATATTATACCACCAGCTTTTTTCCTTAAGAAGCTCGAAGATTATTTCAGGTTCGTTCTAGAAATACATCATAGCGCTAACCTCGTCGCGTCTAACATCTTGTCTCTCAAAATGAACATATTTTACAGAATAAACATCCTAAATAATATAAATAAAATATAATAACATGGAGCACAGTGACCTTCTACATTTTCACCCTCGCCACATATTCTAGACATGGACTGCATGGTATATTTGTGTCAGGGTCTGTATAACAGACACAGACATGCGGTTGCTTTAACGCTAAGATCAATTTCTGGAAGGACCCACATGCACAAAGCGATTTTAGCGTAAGGCTATGCCTAAGTATGGGAGATCCAATAGCTCCACCTCTACAAATGATGTAAGTGTAAGTGGGTGGCCACTTCTTTCCTTAAGTCAGTATTAGCAACACGGCTAACTAAGGCTTGGTTGTGTGGAAGTGCAAAAATCGTTTTGTGAAACTAAGCCTGCAATAATCTGATGTTGTTATGGATCCAATACACATAAATCCGGTGTTAATATAAGATGTTTTGTGAAACTAAGCCTGCAATAATCTGATGTTATGGATCCAATACACATAAATCTGGTGTTAATATAAGATGTTTTGTGAAACTAAGCCTGCAATAATCTGATGTTGCTATGGATCCAATACACATAAATCCGGTGTTAATATAAGATGTTTTGTGAAACTAAGCCTGCAATAATCTGATGTTGCTATGGATCCAATACACATAAATCTGGTGTTAATATAAGATGTTTTGTGAAACTAAGCCTGCAATAATCTGATGTTGTTATGTATCCAATACACATAAATCCGGTGTTAATATAAGATGCTTTGTGAAACTAAGCCTGCAATAATATGATGTTGTTATGGATCCAATACACATCAATCCGTTGTTAATATAAGATGTTTTGTGAAACTAAGCCTGCAATAATCTGAAGTTGTTATGGATCCAATACACATAAATCCGGTGTTAATATAAGATGTTTTGTGAAACTAAGCCTGCAATAATCTGATGTTGCTATGGATCCAATACACATAAATCTGGTGTTAATATAAGATTTTTTGTGAAACTAAGCCTGCAATGATCTGATGTTGCTATGGATCCAATACACATAAATCTGGTGTTAATATAAGATGTTTTGTGAAACTAAGCCTGCAATAATCTGATGTTGTTATGTATCCAATACACATAAATCCGGTGTTAATATAAGATGTTTTGTGAAACTAAGCCTGCAATGATCTGATGTTGCTATGGATCCAATACACATAAATCCGTTCTTAATATAAGATGTTTTGTGAAACTAAGCCTGCAATAATCTGATGTTGTTATGTATCCAATACACATAAATCCGGTGTTAATATAAGATGTTTTGTGAAACTAAGCCTGCAATAATCTGATGTTGCTATGGATCCAATACACATAAATCCGGTGTTAATATAAGATGTTTTGTGAAACTAAGCCTGCAATGATCTGATGTTGCTATGGATCCAATACACATAAATCTGGTGTTAATATAAGATGTTTTGTGAAACTAAGCCTGCAATGATCTGATGTTGCTGTGGATCCAATATACATAAATCTGGTGTCAATATAAGATGTTTTGTGAAACTAAGCCTGCAATGATCTGATTTTGCTGTGGATCCAATACACATAAATTTGGTGTCAATATAAGATGTTTTGTGAAACTAAGCCTGCAATAATCTGATGATGTTATGGATCCAATACACATAAATCCGGTGTTAATATAAGATTTTTTGTGAAACTAAGCCTGCAATAATCTGATGATGTTATGGATCCAATACACATAAATCCGGTGTTAATATAAGATGTTTTGTGAAACTAAGCCTGCAATAATCTGATGTTGTTATGTATCCAATACACATAAATCCGGTGTTAATATAAGATCTTTTATGAAACTAAGCCTGCAATAATCTGATATTGTTATGGATCCAATACACATAAATCCGGTGTTAATATAAGATGTTTTGTGAAACTAAGCCTGCAATAATCTGATGTTGCTATGGATCCAATACACATAAATCTGGTGTTAATATAAGATGTTTCATGAAACTAAGCCTGCAATGATCTGATGTTGCTATGGATCCAATACACATAAATCCGGTGTTAATATAAGATGTTTTGTGAAACTAAGCCTGCAATAATCTGATGTTGCTATGGATCCAATACACATAAATCTGGTGTTAATATAAGATGTTTTGTGAAACTAAGCCTGCAATAATCTGATGTTGTTATGTATCCAATACACATAAATCTGGTGTTAATATAAGATTTTTTGTGAAACTAAGCCTGCAATAATCTGATGTTGTTATGGATCCAATACACATAAATCTGGTGTTAATATAAGATTTTTTGTGAAACTAAGCCTGCCAGGATCTGATGTTGCTATGGATCCAATACACATAAATCTGGTGTTAATATAAGATGTTTTGTGAAACTAAGCCTGCAATAATCTGATGTTGCTATGGATCCAATACACATAAATCTGGTGTTAATATAAGATGTTTTGTGAAACTAAGCCTGCAATAATCTGATGTTGTCATGGATCCAATACGCATAAATCCGGTGTTAATATAAGATGTTTTGTGAAACTAAGCCTGCAATAATCTGATGTTGTCATGGATCCAATACGCATAAATCCGGTGTTAATATAAGATGTTTTGTGAAACTAAGCCTGCAATAATCTGATGTTGTTATGGATCCAATACACATCAATCCGTTGTTAATATAAGATGTTTTGTGAAACTAAGCCTGCAATAATCTGAAGTTGTTATGGATCCAATACACATAAATCCGGTGTTAATATAAGATGTTTTGTGAAACTAAGCCTGCAATAATCTGATGTTGCTATGGATCCAATACACATAAATCTGGTGTTAATATAAGATTTTTTGTGAAACTAAGCCTGCAATGATCTGATGTTGCTATGGATCCAATACACATAAATCTGGTGTTAATATAAGATGTTTTGTGAAACTAAGCCTGCAATAATCTGATGTTGTTATGTATCCAATACACATAAATCCGTTCTTAATATAAGATGTTTTGTGAAACTAAGCCTGCAATAATCTGATGTTGTTATGTATCCAATACACATAAATCCGGTGTTAATATAAGATGTTTTGTGAAACTAAGCCTGCAATAATCTGATGTTGCTATGGATCCAATGCACATAAATCTGGTGTTAATATAAGATTTTTTGTGAAACTAAGCCTGCAATGATCTGATGTTGCTATGGATCCAATACACATAAATCTGGTGTTAATATAAGATGTTTTGTGAAACTAAGCCTGCAATGATCTGATGTTGCTGTGGATCCAATATACATAAATCTGGTGTCAATATAAGATGTTTTGTGAAACTAAGCCTGCAATGATCTGATGTTGCTGTGGATCCAATACACATAAATTTGGTGTCAATATAAGATGTTTTGTGAAACTAAGCCTGCAATGATCTGATGTTGCTGTGGATTCAATACACATAAATCTGGTGTTAATATAAGATTTTTTGTGAAACTAAGCCTGCAATAATCTGATGATGTTATGGATCCAATACACATAAATCCGGTGTTAATATAAGATGTTTTGTGAAACTAAGCCTGCAATAATCTGATGTTGTTATGTATCCAATACACATAAATCCGGTGTTAATATGAGATCTTTTATGAAACTAAGCCTGCAATAATCT